ACTAATTTCTCCTTTAAACAAATGCTTTTGCTCATGCAGATAAATGTTAATAACCTGCAAATGAAAGACACAATCGTTTCGAAGGAAAATACAAAATCTAAATTTAGTACTACTTTAGAAGTTAAACACCATGCTTAATTTGCTTTATACGAATAGATTATTATAACAGTACAAAAGAGCCCTTTAATGGCATTAGTATGTTTCGCATTAGTCTAAGAATTAAAGATAAATAACCGAAATCCATATTAACACTAATCATTTCCGAATTTCCTAAATGCTTTACTCAATATATCGATTACTTTCACAATTACTCACTTTGCAAACTAAATTCACGGCGAATCTTAAATAATAAACTTTGCAATTTATCGATCAGCTTCAGGCACATCATTAATTTTTTCTTAATTTATTCATTTAGAATTAGCACTGCAGTACTTCGCTTTTACGTGCGTGTTCTGAACATGGTGTATTTTAACTTTCAACGAGAAAACGCGTTTAGATATGCCAAAACTTTGAAGCTACTTAAAAGTCCATTAAATTGTTCCTCCTGTGTAGATCGATGTAAAAGCTATATTCGTACTGGTAATATATCAAAACACTGCGTGTGAAATTTATGGATCTAGCTTTCAGAGGGAGAAGGATCTTATATTTATTCATTTTGCTGCATTAATTTGCAATCGTTTACAGCATTCATTTTAAAACTGCGTAAAGACAAATTTGATTAATAGCTTAGTGTTATATACAAGGCAGGCAAAAGGAATTTTTCGTTGCCAGTCTGCTTTTATTAATTGTAATATTTTGCTAAATATCTTTATTGCTATTAAATATTTACGATATCTATCTCTTCTCATTCATGCATGTCCTTATTTGAAAAACTGATTCATATTAATGTCTTACATCTTCGACGTGCCTCCAAGACAGGCAGACTGTTTAACACTTTTGGAGGATGAAAAGACATCTTTTTAAGGCTTAGTTATGAGGATTTTCTGTTAAAGTGAAAAAAAAAAAAAAAAAACAACTATGGATGAAATCGTATATTACATATTTTGTTAAACGTATTAGACATTTCGCAGAAAGAAGGAACTACGAAACAGAGAAGTTGCCGAACTTTCTTTAAAAATTTTTTTGCAGAAATAACGAAAAATGAACCTTCACAATAATTAGTTGTTTTATTTGCAAAGAACTTGAACTAGTGTTAACCAAGGAGACTAGAAGCCAATGTTTTTCTTGTCAGATATTTGAAAATGACCTGTTTCCCTTGTAGGGTTTATATTTATTTTAACTAGCATTTACTTTAAGCTATCTTTCCTGTCAAGCCTTTACTTTCCCCTAGAATTGCCAATGCCAGAGTATGTAAATTGTAGTAGAACGCGCAGAGTATTCAAATTTTAGCAGAAGTAAATTGAGTTTAAATAGAAGGAAAACGAGATTGTAAGTGTGCTTCTTGAATCGCGAGCGTGAAGGTTCCTAGGTAGAAATTTAAGAAACGCGCGTTTCGGCCTTTGTGCCTATTTCGGCAGTTCGTTGAATCTTTCAACTTCTTAATCAGTAAGTTTGCTGAATCTCAGCTGTATCTTAGAACGTGGTTAAGTTAGTTACGATTATAAAGCCTCGTAGATAGTGATTTCGTTATTTATTGATCCTGTCATTTATTTTTAGTTGTACTTTTCTATTTTGTTTAACCGCCGGGTCGGCGTAGTTTGTGAGCGTCAAGTGAACGCAACTGTGATTTCTAAAGTGAAATAAAAAGGGATTTAAACCCTTCTTACGAGTTTGTGTAATTTACAGTTCATAGCAGTCACTACTACTGTTGCTGACAAATTGGGGCCACGCAACATTATACATTGATTTAATGAACAGCTTGCATCAAATATTCACGGAAGTACTTTACAGTATATGTAACGTCTATATGACAGAAACATAAAATACAGAAATTATAGGGATGTGAAAGTTTTAAATTTCAAGCAAAGCCTAAAATTTCTGGAGTTAGACTACCGTGAGAATAAAGTATTTTAATAAAAGCTGAATATATTCCAATACAAACTATGAAATCTTTTGTTAAGATTGAAACTTCTAATGAAGACCTTGGCGCGATTTCGTAGCGAACACCTTTGTTATATGACCCTTTTATGGAGTGCGAAAAGTCTTCCTCTGCTTGTATTTGTTTCCTCCCCGCTTCTCCTGATCATCTTCTAAACTGTGTGGGTATTCCCCGGTATAACTGATAATCGAGCAGGATTCTGTTTGTGATGCTCTTTTTTGGTGTGGTCTTTTGGACTTCGTGTAGACTTTCCTGCACCAGGAGGACTGGAAACAACAGAAAGAAATTTCTAATGCAAAAAATATTTAACGAATCAGTAAAATGTCTCGCAAAGAAGCTTATAGAAACAGAAGGAATAAGGAGTGAAGACTTCACTGCATATTCTTTTGGACTAGAACATAGAATCATTGTCTCATTATCATTCATTCCAAGAGAATGGCATAAGAGAGGGATACTATTGAATTTTTATATTTCTCCCAAATTACAGAATGAAAGAGAGAGAGAGGGAAAATGCTTGTTTCTTAATCGCTTTGCCTGCAATCGCCTTTTCAGCTTTAACCACTCCTAAGACCAGAAGTAATGGCCATTTTATTGTGGAGATAACTAATAAGAGGCCACCGTTGCCTCCTATGAAGGGACGGACAATTACAATCATGCCATCTCCGGATTCGAACTCGGACACTTCGCTACTGCAGTTGGCTTCCCTAACTATTTACTGTGTGGGCGGCAGAGGGGCAATCCTCAATCAATCATTCCAGTTAGGATGATTTAATGTTTGCCAAGTTTAATTATAGTTACAGAAACAAAAAGGTTTAGGCTTGAAAGTCCTGCATTATATTTGATGAAATTAAATAATGAAAAATCTGCATCAATGTATGTATATTTCTCGTATTGTGATAAAACAACGGTACCTAGAGCCAGAAGCGTAGTTGCGGTTTTCAGCGCTCGGGGACAACTGAAGATTTTGAGCCCCTTTCTGTGTGCCAAGAATGGAAAATCATTGCATTCTAAAATTTTGACATCAATTTGACTCCTCCTGGATGCTGCGCCTGGTGACAGATGATCCCCCTTGCCCCACCCTAGCTACGCCACTGCGAAGAGCCATCGAATTTTGAATGACATAATCCTATTGCGAATATGAGAACGTGGAAGCCCAAATTTGAAATTTGGAATTTGTTTTATTATCGATTTCATATTTTGTAAAACTTTAACGAATTTTTGATTAAGAAACTCAAAGATTTCAAAGCGATCAATGGCAACGTTGTACAGAAAAAACATTTTTATCTCCAGCGCGCGAGACACGGTATCAGAAATTCTAAAGATATGCTCAATTTAAAACTATATGCTCTTGAATTTTATGGTTTAAATACGATGAACGTGATATTTAATAAATAAAGGTAACAGACAAAATGTTAAAAACGCCTCTTTGGCCGAAATTTAAAATCTGAAACCTTTAAATTTTACTTTTTTTTGTAAATTTTATGAAGGAAAATATTACAGTTTGAATGCAAGGCCTGAATCCCAAATTTTATTCTGAACGTTAAGTTTCAGGTAATAACTATGATTCTCTTTCCGGATTATATAATTCTAAGTGCTTATCCGCTTTTATTGTGTTAATTACATTATGAATTTCCAAATGGGCTTTTGCAATTTAACTCACTTTATCTGTCAGTCTCACAATTTGCTTTAAATACATTAATGCGCTGAATAATGCAGTAATTTATGTTTTATTTAATTTAAGTATTAAAACAAAACAAAAAAAAATTGAGCTTAGCTTTAAAAGAGAATTTAGAAAATTGAATGCCTTTTATTAAGTTAAAAATTTAGGATTCCATATTTGAAATCATATATATCATAGAATTTTCAACGGAGGGGACTGAATTCAGCAAAACTTTTGAATGTCATTAATATAAATCTTTGGCTTGCCAGCGTCTTTAAAATTAAGTATTTCTTGAATTTTCAAGGACTGTGCGTTTTACTTTCAAATACACATGTAAACATGCTGAAGGTAGCAGTAAAAAAATAAATCTCTGTTTTTAATACCTTTGGAAACTTTTAAATATGAATATTGCATTGTCATATAGTCTATAATTTTACCTCATGGTCATCTAATTCTTCAGAATTCACGGGTTCATTAAAGAATATAATTACTTTGAATACTATAAGATATCTCTCCCGCCTTGCTAGTCTTCGTGGTGTAATGGTTCTGCACGCTGGGCCTGGTATTTCAAAAAAAAAAAAAAAAAAAAAAAAAAAAAAAAAAAAAAAAACAACTTAATGTCTCTACAATACCAAAGGTTAATGCCAACAAATTCTATAGAATTTTTATTTTATCTGAAATTTTAACTTGCCCCCTTACCGGCTGAAAACTCCTTACCTACCTTTAGTTTCGCAATCGTTTATCCTAGTCATAGACGTCTAGTTGCAGAAATGTTTTATATGAGGAGAATATTCAGGTTTCCGCAAGGATAACTTTAAAAAAAATGTTAATTTTCGACAAATAACAGAAATCTAAAATTTAATGCGGTCTCTCGGTTCCTGTGCCTATATTTCGGAAAGTTTTGTACTCGTAATGAAAAAATTAAGAAATTTGACTTGACAAAAATTAACCAGGATGTTTAATTTCAAAATTCGGAGATTTTGATGCCATTTTCAACTTGCCTTGAAGGATCGGTTAATTAAGTTAGAATGATTTGACGAAATTCGAGAACATAAATTTAAATAAAATGCAGCAAAAAATGTTGATAATTTTATAGGCCGTACAAAAACGTCATGTGGTGTCCACACCAGATTTCTTTCATAACATTTCTTTCATTTGGAATTAAGTTTTGAAAATTATAGCACTATCAAACTAACAGCCTTACTAAAAATTTTCAGCCAGGAATATCTTGCAAATAAATTTCTAAGATTAGAGTGGGGAAAAAACTTTTAAAATGCTGTGAACATATAAAGCCAAATTTACCTTCGGTTTTAAATTCAACTGCTGTCCAAACAATCTTGAATCCAACAGCATTTTTATCTAGGTCTTCACCTTTCATTATCTGAGAGGCAGAAGTTTTAAACCTAGAAGGAAATATTTCTGAAACATTAAAGAAATTGCAAATAAGCATCAATAAATTACTTTATGAACGCATAAGGGGGAAACAAGATATTACTTTAAATTCAATTATTTGTTTGCAGTATAAAATTACTTAGATCTTCTCTGCAATTATTTCTTTGAAAAGTAATTTAACACTGTGAATCAAACTGATTTATAACTTTAAGAGGTTTATTAAATATCTATTTATGTAATAATTGAACAAATAATAGCACTGGCAGGAAAATTTAAAGATACAGCTCTAAAAAGATGCTTTAGAGTAATTTCATTAAGTGAAATGCAATGAATAGTAGTTGGTTGCTCAACGTTATCACATAGTCCAATCCGATCCACGTTCGCTGCACTTAAATATGCGAATTTTTGAGTCCTGTTTCTGCACTATGAAAGGAGTACAAGGAGATGCTTCACATTATAAGTTTAAGGATTGTACTTTAATAACATTATCAGTATCATTATAAGGGCACAGCCCCGATCCTCCTAGCCGGCACAAGCCTACCGTGAACTATTAATCGTGAACTAAACTACTAATCGTTAACTATTAATCGCGAAAAAGGCACTATTAATCGTGAACAGATTTTTGTTGCTTAGGAACTCCTGGGCAATCTAATACCAGCATGAAAAATTACTAAGCTTGCATTTCTATCACGGATGACCACATATCTTATTAATTTTGCTATTAAGATTCATAACACCGTCTTTTCCCCACATTATATTACATTTTCTATATTGGTTTTTAATTTTTGTTTCAGAAATAAGCAGAATGCATTTTAAATATATATTAGAATGACAAAGATGTTGTGCGAGTACAATTTTCTTAATTGCAAAATCATTCAAGTTGTTTAAACTTTAAAGGTAATTTTCAAAGGTTGTCTTACGTTATTTAAACTCAAGCAAATTTATCCAAACTTTAAACATACCGAAGCTAGGTTAACTTCCATAAGGACATTTTCTTACATATTTTTGTTAGTAGATAGACATATAATGTAATCAATAAATTATTTGATCGGTGAAAGATGTAGTTACTTCATTACTATTCTGTTCTGACACAGCTAATCAGAATTTCAGTCAGTGTAAATATTTTCAGAAACTAATTCGATGATAAGCATTCATTCGTAATTTACTTGATTATCGATAGAATTCGATAAACAAGTAAATTACAAATGAGAGAACGGTCAGTATTTTATAAGGTGTTTTTTCTAAAGCTGGTTTATGTATTTAAAAAAAGATAAAAGTCTTAAAGATAATTAATTACTTAAAAATACATTATTAGTACACAATAACACACATAATGCATATATAGTACTGTTAAATGTATATAATTTATATATAGTATTGTTAAAGGTGAGAATTAATTTGAAGATAAAAATTATGCAATAAATTTAATAACAGAAATTATGCAATACAAAAGGGCTTCTTTATCAATAATAAGACTGCGTTAGAGGCATCTTCATCGGTAATAAGAATACGTAAAAGGAAATTGAAAAACCCATCGATCTTAAGATACAAGGACACACTTTTCTACAACTAAATTTAAAAGAATTATCGCGTTAGATTAAATTAGAGAGATTTTAAGACTTTTCAGAACACTAATGTAAAAAACCAAGAGTACCTTCGCTATGATTCGAACCATGTACCTTCCAGTTGCATGCTAGTCATGCTAACTGTTTAATATCATGTGGAATCTCACGGGAGTTACGATAGTTCCCTACATACTAAAAAAAAAAAAAAAAAAAAAAAAAAAAAAAATGAAAGAATGACGACTGGCTCAGAAGTGTAGGAGGAGAAAATTTCCGTTATCTTCAGACGTAATGATAGCGGATTCGGTTGCGTACCAACTAAATATTATTTAGGAACTCACTAAAGAAGTCGTATTTATTATTTATTTGATAGTATTTTAATTTCGAAGACTGTAATGTATTTATCCCAAAAAGCGTTAGCCCAGAACTGCTATAAATTTTGTTTTGGCATTTTGTGGTTTTTCGCCACAAACGGCGTTCACATTTCAAAGTGTTGCCACCAAACATTATCGCCCTATATTATATTTAAAGAAATTAAGAAATGAAGAATCTGCATAAATGTAGTATGTATGTTTCTCACATTGTGATAAAACAACGGTACATACAGCCATCCAATTTTAAATAACTTAATCCTCCTGCTAATATGGGCATCTGGAAGCCCAAATTTGGAATTTGTTTTATTACATATTTTTTAATTTTGTAAAGCATTTATGAGTTTTTGATTAAGAAATTGAACGATTTCAAAGCGAGCAGTGGCAACACTGTACGAAAAAAAAATTATCCCCAGCACGCGAGACTATGTATAGGAAATTATAAAGATATGCTCATTTTAAAATACTTAAAGATATTTCTGTTAAATTGAATTTTATGGTTTAAACGCGACTACCATGATATTTAATAAATAAAGGTAACACACAAAACTTTTTTTTTGTTTAAAGCCTCTTTGGGCATAATATAAAATCGGAAAACATTCAGGTTTTTTTTTTAAATTCTTGTATTTAATTGTGATTAATTAATCTGTTTAGTTCATTCCCACCTTTTGAATACTGTTAGAGATGAAAGAATTTTGTAATTTTGAAAGCTGTACGTATTTATTACCATTCCTTTAAAAGTTTAAGAGCAGGGGTTCTCACCAAGGGTTCATAGTTGCAAGGAAAAATGCGATCAGCCTTTTCAGCTATTAAGCATTTAGTTTCAAATATAAAATGCTATTTTTATTTAAGTTTTGGTATTTTTCAATATTTTTATACTTTTTCTTGTTTCATTTATAAAAATATTAAAGAATAATCTAAATTTGAATAAATGTGTAAGGTTATTATTTGAAACTAATCAGTTATTTATGATTTCAGCCTTTACTAAAATTCACCTTTCCATTTCCTTAATCAGAATATAAATCTGTTAGATAGCATTTCAAGCAGAGTTTTCGGATTGTAAGATACAGTATATTTCTGAATTTCGCGGCACGTTACGTTAGTTCCTCTCACTTTTGATAAGTTTGTTCAGGTGATTCGGCTTTGCGTTATTGCTGCAGATATTTGAATTTGATGCACTGGTTAGAAGTTAACAGCCAGCTTAGATTCAAATTTAATTGTGTGGTCTTTGACTGCTATTTTACGTTTTAAATTGGAATTTGACTATTACTTTAGTTGCATCGTCACGATTTTGGTTGACTCTGCTAGCATAAGAATGTGTATCTATGTTCAATGTTCATGACTAAATAAAAAGATTTATTTTATTTTAAACTTTTATAAGTCTCTAGCTACTTACATAGTGATAATTAGATTTATGTGTCTTAGGGTTTCGGACTACTTAACTTTTATCAGATTAAATAAAATCCTATAAATAAATATATATATGCACTTTTTGAGTTTTTGAAAGGAGAGACAAGGAGAAATGATCGTCTAGCAGTGATGAAAGGCGTGCATGGAGCAAAAACTTTTGAGAACCAACCGGTTTAGAGCTTGTTTGAGTACTCTGGACTGTCATGCAACAGCACTAATTTTCAGTCGCGCATGCGCGTGTTCGGTGACATGACACAATATATTTTAGCGAAATTCTGGCCTAATTCAGCAGGGCAAAGAGATATGGATTTAAAATCATGAATCTAATCTGTGTTATGTGAACGACTGAGTTACATTAACTATAATCATATTTCGTATTTTATTTAAATAAGATACTGTTACATAACACTCCTCATTTTAAAAGTAATGTTATAAATATTTCTTAAAAAAATTAAGGAATTTCATATTTCGTTGGAGAAATTAACCAAATAGTTCAGGAAATGATAATCAAAAAAATTTTACTTCAGTAACCTGTTGGAATGTCAAACATTTAATAAGTTTTATCACTAATATAATCATTAACTTTTAGTGCTAAATATATTTTCTCAGAAGCAGGTCAATTTTAATTTTCCCCCGTTAATTTTAGTAAACGGAAAAATAGATATTATTTATTCTTTTTCCCATTGGCGAACTTATTTTACCCCAAGGGAAGCTTCCGAATTTATTATCCTGAACAAAGTTCATTCTTATTTGCACATTAACATTCATTCCTTCCGCTTAATTCTGCAGCCCCAGGGAAATATTATTTTTCTTTTCGCTGCAGATGGCAAACTCTCATTTAAGAGAAGAATTTTTTTAGCTTTGTTATTTATTACAAAGCTTTATTTTTACTCATTAAGTGCGTCTAATTAAGGACGCTTAGTTCTTTAGTCACTCATGAGTGGATTACGAAAGTGAAAATAATTATGCTTTCGGAATTTGTCTTTTTCCGGGCCAGTTTTCATGATTCTTTGATCTCTTGTGGCATTTTATTTATCTTGTTGAGTGCTGGAGATGTAGAATAGCTAAAGAACTTTTAATTTTTCCACTGCATGTGCTGTAGTACCAGTTCATTTATATGGGGTAAATGAGTTCTCACATTTAAAATATTGCTGCGTGCGTATGGGTTCGTAATAGATTGAATGCACAGGTCCGATAAAAGGTTAATACAATTTATTTTTATCAAAAAAATATATATTTCAGAACTCTGGAATTTTACACTTAAATATTCTTACAAATGTTCCCAGTATCACACAGTATAATCAGTAACTACAAACTTCTAAGAACGTTAAACACAACGCAATGCAAAGCGCATCTAAAGAGAAAGACAATCCGATCTCACGCTGAACTTTCAACAATAGCAACAATAACTAACTAAACAACTGACAGCAGATGCTCTCTCTTCCGGCCTTAAATAGTTTTCAACCGGCCGCAAGATATTTTTAGCACTTTCAGCTTCTCGAAATTACTGGAAAGCAATACGAGGGGTGGAATTACAGTTACAGATAACGTAGTGGTCAATTACATTTACTCAATTTCAATACTTATTACGGTGATACAGGGACCGACCCAAAATGTCGCCAAATTTAACTACTTTCGGCAATTTCTTAAAAAATTTGGTGACAATAAAGTCGCCAAAACCATTGTCAGCTTGGCGATATCTCGCCAAATTACCGAGATACCCATTTATTGCATGCTAAATGCACTTTCCCCAGTATTCTTATTTTTGCGGCATAATATTTCTTAAAATTAGTCTCGAGCTACATTACACAGAAAAATACAACAATTTTTACGGTACTAAAATTCTACTAAAATTACCTATCTAAGTTCAATATTCGTAACATTATGTTGATTTAAGTATTACAACAATTTGAATAAATACTATAAAGAAGTTAATATATGAAATATAATGAACATACTACGGAGAATACTGAAAAATGGATTTACCATCGAAGATATTCTTACAACAGTAGTTATGCGCTGTACTTAACTGAACATTGATTCTAAATAAATATTCCAATTAGTATCTCTTACTTTTCTAAATATATGATCTAGTTTCTAGGTTCCTTAAAATAAGATGTTGAAGTTTGAGAACACAGCGCACAGTTCCGCCGCATTACTGTACCTACTAGGCTCGTAGTAGGCGCGCACCAGAAGCCGGCCCGACAGAAGATTCACAGATATTCTTTACATTAATTTTAAATATTTTCACATTGAATACGCATTGAGTATACATTGATTATATAATTACACAGGTATAAAAAAGTTATAATGATCTTAACAGATTAATATATTATTTACAAATAATTAAATCAAAACCTCAGATCTCAGTATAAATCAAAATATTACGCTGCGACAAATACGTTAACGATAAGTTAATGACTAATTACTATCATTATAAATGACTAATTATACCATTAACTAATTACTACCATCATTCATGATTAATTACTACCATTAACAAATTATAATAAGATAGTCCCCAAGGCTCTGCCGTAATCACATAAATCAAACTGCACAATGAACTATCTTTTTTTGAAATACGGTACGGGTATGGCGTTCTTAGTAAATGTTGTAAACAGCAGTGGCATGAGATAACAGTTTGGTTTATAATGTACTCTGAATATGGTATTCTTTTGCAGAAGTAAAATTTTGTACCACAATTTTTTTAGTTTCTTTCATATTTATTCATAAATCTTATTAATAATCACCAAATGTTTCCTTCCCTTGCTTTATTTACAACTTGTATCTGATGAAGAATTCAGTTAAACGTCACTATCGCATGAATAAGTAAATGTTTATTTAGTAGCTAACAACTAAATTTCTATATTTATGTCAATTTATCATTTGAAATTGCCTTCTAATCATTTGGTAGATAATAAAATTTTACCTGAGTAGCAATCTGTTCCTCCCCGATAGCTGTGTTTGTTCCTCCACATTTTTGTAGTAGCGTAGATCCCCGCAGTACTTCTGAAGCACTTTCGGATTGAAGGAGATGCTTGAATATCCATCGTAGATGGTGAGCTCCGCTTCGGCGCAGTTGGCTTGAAATCAAAGTTCTCACCCTCAACACTTCAAAAAATATAAACAAGGCCTTGCAACGCAGACAATCCACATATCCTTGTCTCACACACACACACATACACACTCCCTCTCTTCAAACAATCGGCCAACTTTTATCATTATTTCCATGTTTGTAAAAAGAAGATTTTATATTAACAATTAAATTTCATTACGAGCTACAGTGTTATTTTAGCATTATGCTCTTTCTTCCCTCGAATTCCTCCAAAAGTTCATAAACCTTTTAATAAATATTTCGGATACTTACGTATTATTGCAACAACCTTAGCAGAAATCGCCAAATTACCAGAATGGGCCAAATTCTGGCAACCACGCGCATATTCTTCAAACAACCACACTAGTAACAATCTTTCAGTCACTCAGCGTTGCTATTTTCTTAAGTGTTTTTGTTTTTGTTGTTCTACTTATACCACGTTTCAGCGGTTTTTAAAGACAAATCTTGATATTCTTGTTTTCTTTCTTAGCCTGAGACTCAGTTTTATAATATAAATTCGTGTAATTCGCCAGCAATGGCAAAACTGCAGTAAAATTTCTGCAGGAATGCAGTATTTTTATTGCAAAATCTCTAAAGGAAAGAATAAAGCTATGCGTTTGATAGACAGCATAATAATAATGCTGAATTTATGCGCCATTGCCGGGTTTGTGCGGTTCTCTGATGTTTTTTTAAGCGAACAAAAGAGCATTGTGTACACGGGAAGATCACCGCATAAAATTACAGAATAATTTTGAGAAACATGTTCTACGATTTACGATAACTATCGATAGTCTGGGATTCTTAAAACAAAAAAAGTCGCAAAAATCACCAGTGTAACCCGATAAGAAATGTTCACCTTTCCGTCTTCAAAAAATCCCCAAATTGCGTCAACGGGGTTGCATTAATACGTAAGTACCATATTTATAAATCGCTTTATAGATATTAGCGTAATTTTAAAAATTCTCTATCTGTTAAATTTGCTGAGATCACATTTGCATGCGAATGTCATGTGACAATATTTTTTCTCTTCTGAAATGCAAATTAACTGTAAAACTAGTATAATGCTGGTTTAATAAAACAGAAGTCTCTCTTTCTTTGACGATCTGTTTTTCCGACTATTTTTGTTTAAAATTAGAATCCACAAGTTTGGAGATAAATCCGCTCTTTCGGCCATTTTGTCACGTGCTGTAAATTTAAAGATAGACCTACGTTCATTTTACTCATACTATACTATTATGTGGATATATTATTTAAATTTCGCATTGGTTAAAAATAATATATAACTCATTATACAATTTTTGAAAGCAATCAAATACATTTGTAAACTCAAGTAGGAATGGTTTGCAATTCAACAATTTCTAATTTTTGGGTCTAGCTCGGATTTCCAACATGTTGAATAAGGAGGACACACGCCTTCATTTCCCCCTCACTTTTAGTTACTTTAAAGGGTATAGAAGATAAGCCTGAACTGCAAGTTTTGTACTCTCTTTTGATTCTGTTTGTGGAATTAAACAAATTTTGACTTTTTTTGAACATTTCGTGTTTTTCTTCTTAATATCAAATTTATTTTATTAGCTCAAAAGGGCGTTAGCCCAGAAGGGCTATTAGTTTCGAAACAGAATTTTGCGTCGAATCACTATAAACGGCTGCATCATTTTTCAGTTGTTGCCATTAAATATTATCGTTCTCTGTTATATTTAAGGAAACTAAATAATGACGAATCTGCGCGAATGTATGTATGTTCCTCGCATTGTGAAAAAACATTGGTCAAATTTTGAATAACATAGTCCTCCACCCGAATATGGACATTTGAAAGCCCCTATTCGTTTTATTGCCTATTCGATATTTTTTTGAATTTCTGATTAAAAATCTCAACAATTTCAAAGCAAACAGTGGCAACACTGTAGGGAATAAAACATTTTTATCTCCAGCGCGCGAGACTGTCTATTGGAAATTCTGAAGATAGCTTGCTTTTAAATATTTTTAACACAAAGTGATGTTAGTCCAAACGCTCGCGAAGCGTTTATTTATTTGTTTATTTATACTTTTAGGAATTTTCTCGATACCTGAAGATTGATTATGATTTTCGCTGAAAACAGTATTTCCAAATGCTCTGAAATGAGAATGTCTTAACTTTAATTCCTTAAATTATATATAATATAAACGTGAGATATTAAATATTTTAGTTCACTTTTATTAATATCCTAATTTTAAAGAGTTCCTAACTTTTCTGTTTTTCCTGTTCGTTTAATGGTTAATAATAACTTTAAAAGCATTCCTAGTTTTCACTATACTAACCGCATATTCGATGAATACAGACTATAAAAGGAACTAAGAAGAAATTATATAAATGCGGTTTAATCATTATTGAGAAATAAATTCTCATATTCAGTATTCTTTTTTTTTACTTGTAATATCAGGCCTGTAACTTAATTTCATCTTGCGTTAGCCCTTTAATGAGTTGTTTCACACAATAATCTAATTTTATTTACACGTAGATAAACAAAGAAATAATTCAACTAATAAATAGTATCTTTTAATATACGTTCACATGCCACTAAGTAGAGCAATGTTAGAAGACTACTTACCTATGCTCCCGTACAACTGCATTTTGAGGATGCGTACATATATTTTCATGTGGTAGTCAACCCTTAACAGCCATATGCAATCAACATCTTTAGGAAAGTAGTAAGGAAAACCGGGGGATACAATCAAACCTCCCACTCCGGAAACTGTCCCTCCGCAGTTGCTGACGTTGACAGTTGACTTGGGAGGAGGTATCATCTCTGTTAAAAGAAAGGAGACACTGGATTTGCAAGCATTTTGATTATGTTTGATTCATTGGGAATATAAAACAAATAAGACTACCAAAAATCTATACTTTGTAAAATTTCATACAGAAGCAGAAAATATGTTTCAAAACGTATTGCCAGTTTAGAAGAATTTCTAAGTTCTTATTTCCAGGGCGACTGAAAAGTAAAAACGGATTTGTGAGTTATACGTAATTGCAGTAATATCTAAGCATGCCATTTTTTCTAGCTCAAAAATAACAGAATCCGATGTCATAAAATATCGTCGAATTTTTTTTATCGAACTTTGCCAGATGTGTTATATCAGGAATGACCAACTTCTGCATATATATATGTAAGAAAAACAGAGAATGGGGACGGTAAAGAGGGTCGTAATATAAAAGATCAAATTAGCAACGTAAATTAATTTCCCTTCCCTATTCTAAATATAGTAACCTCTCTGCGTCATTTCGAGACTAATTCATGTCATGTGACTCTTACATAATTCTGATAATATAAATGGAACTAGAACTCAAATAGCCAATAGTAATTTTACGAAAGTATTAACTATCCAATCAAAATGCATTGAAAACCAAAACTAATTCACTCTGAATTAAGATTTCACCCTGAACATAACGCACTTGCTTTCTGCGCTTTCGCCTAGCTTGACTGCAGTCTGTCTGCTTCTTCTTTCTTACTGCAAATTTATCTAAAATGTATATTTTTGGAATAGTCACAATTAATGTGCCAACTTGTTTGTGGCCGGAACATGTTAACTGAAATAAAAATATAATTAAATATACATTGACTGCTAAATTTCCTATTCATTATAGATCAACTCTTCTACGCCATCAAAATTCCTGCTGATTATTATTTCTGAATTTGTTTTTATCACTTATATATTGTTACGAAATGCCTAGCTACGGTAAGATAGCTTCCTTGCAAACCGGGGTCAGGGTTGCCAGATTTGGCGTGAAATTGTCCATGTGGCAATATGCCATAGAAGGAGCGAGAACATTCTAGAACGTATTCTTACTGGTTTTCCCGAGAATGTTCTCCAAGGCAGGCCAAAAGCTATATACCATGCCTGTACGCGGAGTAAGTGAGTATGTTGCGTTCAGTCGTATTGTTTTGAGTTGAGAGATTACCTTGAAAGCAATCGATTGAATCGAGAGCTGTAGTTTAGTTCTTTGCCATGAAATTGTCTTCATCATTATAGTCTGATAAAATATGTTGCTGATCGTTTCAGCGTGTTTCTCGTAGTTTTTCGACGACTGTAACGTGTCTTTGTAAATGTCCTGTGTAATAGTGCTTACTGGCGAATAAATTGTATTTTCCAAGGTGGTGTTTCCTGAGGCGTCTCCAAGGTGGCGGATAGGAAAACGCCTCCTTTGGGTGGTAGAAGGGAAATGAAATACCTTCCGCGGACCAACAGACAGAAGTCCAACCTCTTGAGGCAATGACAACCATTTTTCCACGAGAGGCCATTTTATGGATCTAGATCACTGCAAGGACAGGCAATACTCACCCAGGGTGTACAACAACACCTAGAAACAATCAACCGGAAAGACATACATTATGCAATGAATGCTTGCACATGTTGGAATCGATGGAAATGAAGTAGCCGATGAACTGGCTGAGAAGGAAAACAATCTCAACAACTCAAACCCGTCACTCTTGAAGATGCTAATGCCATTGCCAGATATAGACTATTAAGAGAAATCTATTAAAAAAAACCATCAGATATATGAGATTGATGAAAACACAGAAATATATTAAGAAAAACCATCATATATGTGAGTTTGATGCAAACACAGAAATCACAAAGACCATTATTAGATTGAGAGCCCGCTATTTTAGAGGAATAAAAATTAACGAAGATGGCACCAGATCATATAGAACTGGTAGAACGTGTCCCGAAACGAAGCTTTCTTCAGAACACGTCTTCACCTGTCCGGCAATACTTGTAACTCTGCAAAGCTTGGGAGAATTTCCTTTCCAGGAAGAGCTGTAGAGTGAAAAGATTCTGGAACTGGCAAAAGCAGTGATTTTCACGTATGGATCCATTTGACGTCTCAAAGGGCACGACACCAACCAACCAACCAATTATGTTTTGATTCTTGCTCAAGTGTTATCATCAATCATTCCAAATTCACGAACCAGTAGAAGGCAAGAATATATATATATATAAAATAATAGGTAGAAATATTGCAGTGAGCTTGCTAAAAAGTTACCAGGAGCTGTAGCTCCACGAAATAGTTCAACGCAGTACTACTAAAATATTAATATAGAAGAAATTTAAAAAAAATTATTAACATGGAAAAAAGAAAACCTCTTACACGCGAAATAAAACTGTTTAAAATCAATGTTGGAAAACATGTGAATGCACGAAAAAACTAATTGTCTTCCACAAAAATCCTTGCATTCTGTGTCCAGAATCAGCCGATGAACAATTTCAATGTGTTTTAATTATAATAATTCACCCGAAAATTCTGGTCCCTCCCCAAAGCAAGGAAAAAACAAAGTACATTTAAGTTAAAATTTTGAAAAAAGAGAATTCTATTCAAAGAATTGAAAACTAAGTGAAATAATAAAATACTTCAGTGAAAAATTCAAATCAAAATTTTACCTTTGGACTAAGAGCACCTAATCCAAAGAATTTAAATTGAAGCGAAAGTGAAACTATAAAACCTTAGTGAAAATGTTTCGCGATCTAAAATCTTGATACTTAATACATTAAACTTTGTGTGATAGTAAGTGACAGGGAGCAAGAGGTAATAAACTAGCATGGCAGTATTTTATTAATAATAATTATTAATTGAAAGGTAGATGAAATACAAATAAAATTGTATTTCATTATCTTATCAGCAACGGGAAGTTTGCGTCTGTATGTCTGATGTATATGCAGACAAAAAAAAATTATAATGAACCTTCAGTATGGAAGTCAATTACTCGTATTAGAAAAAGAGGTTTAGTGTCAGTTAAGTATGTAGATATAAAACAAGAGTAGATATATTCACTAATTTGGTGATACTGGGATAATTTTCTTGTCTCTTTCTTATGTAACTCTATCTCGCGTTTTGTAAACTAAATCCTCGGTTAGATCTATTTTTGGCTATATCAGTTTTTAGAGTTATAAAAGCATTTTCTAAAGCGCTGTTTTTAAATATTAAATACGTAAAATATGCAACAATATGCTTTACGTTTAAATCCTTTGCAAAAGGAAAAGTATGCTGCGCAAGAAATTTGATTTTCTAAAATCGTGAAATCTGACCTCAGAATTTTCAATCACATTTTCAATTTCTGTAACGTATTTTTCGATGTGATAATTGCAGTTCTTATGCTTTTGTAAATGACTGAACATATTCGAAGGTGCTTCAAATTATTTCTTTGAAAATCTTCTAGTAGCATAATAAAATTTATTGTGTATACATTCCAACTACTATCTTGTTTTTCTTTGCAATTTTAAATTTAAATCTAGAAAGAAAGTTAAATCACTGAGTCAAGTTTCAGTTAATTTTTTTTACCTGAGTTGATAAATTAAGAAATCGTTGCAGAAATTTATTTATACTTAGCCACCTTATATCTTATGAAACAATAATTTTGTCCTTTATCAAGTTGCAATTAGAAGAGATGCAGTTTAGAATAATTTTCTTGAAAGGATTAAACAATTTTGTCCATTATTTCTCTTGTATTTAATCTTTTGCTGGTTAACACTTGTTGGCGTATTAATGCAGTAATAGCTGAAAACCTTTAGAAATGATTCTCATTTTGGCGTAGAGTATGACATCTTTTTGGCATAGTGCATTAATGTCGCGTATTATTACTCCTGTTCTATCTATTGCTATTGAAACTAATTACAAACTGTGATGTGGCCACCACGTGACTTTCTTGTACGGTCCACTAGATTATACGCATTTTTTGCTGCTTTTCATTTAAACTTATTTCCTTGATTTAGAGATATATTTCCCATTCAATCAATTCAGTTCTCATTTCGCCGTAAGGCAAAAATACATAAAAACTTAAAATATCTTGCTTAGAAATTGAAAAATATGGGAACTACGAGTATAAAACACCCAATACAGTTAAAAAATCTAGAAAACAATTTTCACAATTAAAATGAGAATTTCTACCACAAAATAAACATTTCGGCCAATGGGCAAGAAGGTAGATTTTTCGGTGCACAAAACTGAAAGTTTACTTTTGATCCCATTCGGCAAAAAGACACTGAAGTTGATGCACAAATTCATTTAATTCACTATTCTGCTAAATTTTAAATGTAAACAACCATGGCTGCTTCGTTAGGCTTAACCGCACTTAAACAAATTTTAATTCTACACTATAGCATGCAGGTTAACTAAAGACATAAAAACCTTAACCGGGACATAAGAACAATGTAATTCGGTCATTTCTAAAGTAAAAAATGTACAATAGACCAATACATAAGAATTAGGAAAAAAAAAAAAAAAAGGGAAAAAAATAATAATAAAATAGAACATAAATATAAAAGTAAATCTGAAAGATTCAGATTTTAAATTACGTCCAAAGGGACTTTTTTTTAACATTTTGTGTGTTAAAATATCATGTTCTTCGCACTTAAACCATAAATTTCAGTTCAATAGCAATGCCGCAAAATAATTTTAAAATGAGCCTATCTTTAAAACTTCCGATACACAGTCCCCCCTCCTGTAGATTGTTGCCTTTGCTCGCTTTCAAATCATTGAGTTTGTTACTCCAAAATTCGTTTAAGTTTTACAAAATATGAAATCGATAATAAAACAAATTCCAAATTTCGGCTTCCACATGCCCATATTCACAATAGGATTACGTCATTCAAAATTCGATGGCTCTATGTACCATTGTTTTATCACAATGCGAGAAATATACATACATTTATGCAGATTTTTCATGATTTAGTTTCTTCAAATATAATGCAGGACTCTAACATTTGGTGGCAACAGTTTGAAAAGTGAAACGGACATTTATAGGGATTCAAC